TGTTTTCCATCCTCACAAGCAAATTATCCCCTGGGGCTTTTTGTTTCTTTCTTTGGCCTGAAGCAAATCTGTGAAATGAAACCGAAACTGGTTTGAAGATGGAATTTCTTCCCCTGCACTCACTATTTTCAATTGAGATGTGCTTTATTCTGTTATCAAACAGAATGTTTCTGATCACAGAAAAAGTCAGAGCTCAGCAGGCAAGGCCTGAGGGTGGGGAAGAGATGCATTTCCCAGTGCTGCACTGGAGCTGGGCTGTGGTCCTGCCCCAGAGCCACATCCATGTCCTCAGCCTCACACCCTCTCCTCACAAGCTCCCTGTGGGAAAAGTCTGAGCTCCCGATGAGTTCTGTAGCCCTCCATCAAGTTTGAATTTCCCAAATCACGTCTGGACAGCAAAAAAGTTAGCCAGGTCTTGGTGAGAGAAAGATGGTGAAGTTAGAGCCTGCTCTGAGTTTGCAGCAAACACTAGCAGTGGGCTCGGTGCTGCTTTGCTGCTTGGTTTCAGACAGCAGCTGAGGCCTTTCTTTAAATTGCAGCCACTTCTCTGACACCTGAGGTTAAAAAAAAAAATAAAAAATTAAGCAATCCTGCCCAGGCAAGCAAAACGCCCGGGCACAGCCGAGTCTGTTGCGTGGGGTGAATTATTTAAACACGCAGGTTTGGTCCTTTGGCGCTGCCGCCCGCCCGCCCGCCGGTCCCTCCGTGTGAGGGGCAGAGCTCAGCTCAGCTTCCGCTCGCCCATGTGAGGGCCGCGGTGGGAGAGCCCGGGGAGCGAGCGCTGTGGGGAGGAAGCTTGAGCAAACCGAAGGAAATAAATCTCCTGGTCAACTCAAAGAAAGGAGGCACGACACACACCCTTGGGCTGGCCTCCAGCCCGAGGCAGCGCTGCCTGGCGGGGAATCAGGCCGAGCTTTCCCGAGTCCCGCTCCGTACGGAGCTGGTGTCTGCCCTGAGCTGACACCTCAGCTCCCCCGGGCCGGGCTCCAGGACGGCGACTCTCCCAAGGCAAAACACCGAGCAGGAATGCACTAAAGCCCCCATACGCTTTTTTCGCAGAAAAAGTTTGCATTGGCATTTTGAATTACATCGACATCGAAGGCTTCTTTACAAGAAGAGGAGAGTGGGAAGGGTTGTTTTTCTCACATATATTTTAACTTATGTAGATAAAAAAAGCCTCCTTCCACTATGTCGTCGCTATGGCTACGGCTCGGATCATTGTGCAGGAGCCTGTGAACAGGAAAAGGCCAAGCGGAGAGGGGGCGGCGAGCCCGGTGCTCCCCTGCGCGGTCCTGACGCATCCTCCGGCCGCCAGTCTGTCCCCAAGGCCACCCTTGTGTCCCCACCCCATGGGAATGAGGAAATTCTGCCATTGAGAAACGTCCCGCTGGCTGGCTCAGCCCGAGGAGAACTTCCCGGGGCACGAGTTAGAGGGGGAGAGCGAGGAGGAGCTTTGCGCCTGGAGATGTTGTCGGCGCTGTGACACTCGCTCCCTCACTCTCGCCCGGAGGCAGGCTCGGGCACAGCGCGGCGCCGGCTGACCTGCAGGGCACCTGTGCCTCTGCTGCCATGGGCTCCCACTGCGGGACAGCGGCTGGTGTGGCTCAGCCCCCACCACAGGCTGGCTCTCAGCTTGGCCGTGTGATTGCGGTTCTGGAACCGAGGAAAGTCACAGCAGGTGAGGTTTCTCCAGCACCTAAAGCCCCAGAAAGCACTCTGATGTAGGTCTCAGTCGTAGTTCCAGAGGCACTTTGGTCCTCCCGTAGCTTGAGGAACAGTTACTGAGGAAGTTTAAAATTGGTCTGTTCTTGACCCATGGCATTACCACATCGCTGTTGGAGACTCTTACCAAAACTGTGAGAATATTTCTGCTGGTTTTAAAAACCCTGCCTCTGAGTAGGATCTCAGCAAAAGTCATATCTGAAACGTTGGTCCTTGCATTTCCTTTCACGTGTGAAGGTTTAAAATTATCCCCACTGGCTAGAAAAGGTCTCCTCATTTAGCACTGCCTCACTTGTTTTCTGTGACTGCCTGAGACTCCATTCCATCAGAATTCATTTAGAAAATGTAATGGTAAGCCACATAGGGAGAAGACGAACAAGATATGATAAACAAATTTAAATTGATTGAAAATTTGACTAAGCTGCTTACTTTTCTAATTATGATGCCTAATTAGTTAGCTTGTTCCATTCAGTCATGCAGCTTTGATAGCTTTATTGTGCTCCAGAAGTCTGGAGCCTGAGATTTAAGCACGCCTGCCCTAGATATCTAATGAACTGTTAATTTCAAAATAAAACCACTCTTAAACTACTCTACTAGCAATCACCTTCTGGTCTGATAAATGGAGCCAGAAGCACAAGCTTAAAATAACTTCAAAACAGATTGCACTAGGACTGAGATGCAGGAGATGAGATGAGGTTAATGTAGCTCACAGAGTAACCAGTGAAGTTACTACATCTTCACCAAGGAGAAGACACAACACCCTGATGCTCAGTGAGAACTGCTAGAGACCATCTCCTCTTTCCCATTCTGCCTCCATCACCTGCTCTTGGGCTGCTTCCTTGGCTATGCTTGTTCTCACTTCTTTTGGCCTACTGAATTCCAGTAGAGAACAGGGTAGCAGCAAGGGTAGGGAGGTTTGTAGCCTGTCATTTAATCTTCATCCAAGTGAGAAACAGATTTCCCCTCCCTTTGGGCAGGAGAAGGATTGAGCCTCAGGCTGCTGCATGTGGTGTGAAGGCTGCCACAGCTGCTGAGGTGCTGCACAGACTGGGGCAGGCCTGGAATCATCTTACGTATTACAACAGTTCTATTGTCATTATATGTTGTCTTATGTATCAGGAGTTCATTTATCATTACGGTGCAAGGGTTCCATGTCCTCAGAGTTTTATACTGCCTCAATGTTTCTCATTGGCAGCTCCTCTGAGCACTGACTGTTCCTGGTCCTTGCAGCAGCCATTTGACTCCTCTTTTGTACCACTAGTTCTTATTGGTTACAGGTGTGGCCTGTTATCATCCAGCCTGCTCCTAATCTTTAGTAATAGGGTCCAGCTGCAACTCGTTGGGGGATAAGATTGCATTCTACATTACCTCCTACACTGGAAAGGGATGTTTCTTATGCAGAACCTGACCTGCTCAATCAAGGTAATTTTTGTGACAGATTCCATTCTCAGTCCAGCTGGAGTTAGTCCAGATAAGCACTGGAACCATATCACAGAACCATAGAATGGTTTGGGTTGGAAGAGTCCTCACAGGCCATCTCCTTCCAAGCTCCTCCATGGTCAGGGATGTCACCCACTAGACCACGTTGCTCAAATCCAGCTTGGCCTTGAATGCTTCCAGGGATGAGACATCCATAACTCTGGGCAGCCCATTCCAGTGCCTCACTACCCTCACAGTAAAAATTTCTTCTTACTAGCTAGTCTAAACCTGCCCTCCTACAGCTTAAAGCTCTCTTGCCCCTGTGAAAGGTCCCTCTCTAGCTTTCCCTTTTAGGTACTGCAAAGCTGCTGGGTCTCCTTGGAGCCTTCTGTTCTCCAGGCTGAGCTGCTCCAGCTCTTTCAGTCTGTGTTCATGGGAGAGGTGCTCCAGCCTTCTGATCACCTTCATGGCCTCCTCTGGATTCACTTCAGCAGGTCCACATCCTTCTGATGTTGGAGACCCCAGGGCTGGATGCTGCACTCTGGGTGGGGGTCACCAGAGTGGAGCAGAGGAGCAGAGCCCCCTCCCCTGACCAGCTGCCCACAGGGCTTTGGATGCAGCCCAGGACATGGGCTTTCATTGGTTTTCTGGGCCACAAGTGCACATTGCCAAGACAATGCTGAGCTTCTTGTCCACCAATGCCCCCAAGAAAGAGCTACCTTCTGCTCTCCTCCAAGAGCTCCTGTATTTTTTATTAGTGTTTTCACTCTTGAAGCAACAGCTGACAGCCAAACCTCACACCTGGGCAGAGCTGGCACACTGCTGACTACACATAAGCTAAAAACAAAACAGAAAATAAGAACAGTTTCATGCACAGCTCTCTGTTGGCTCTGGGCAGAGTGATACCTTATTCTTAAAATTAGTTCAGCATTTCCCATGGCTGAAGCAGTCAGTGCCCACTGCTCTCTAGGATGAGGAAACACCTTCCATGTGACACATGATTTATGCAGTGACCAACAGGTTTTTTTTGTTTTATTTAAACCAGTTTATGTTACAAGACAGCTAAGTCTCTTCCCTTCTTTGAAGTGAAAGCAATGCTGGCCAAAAAAGCCTTTTATTGCAGGGTTACCAGAGATCAAGAGGAGGGCAACACAAAGTTTGCAAGCATCCACTTTCATCATCAGCTTGAGATGTGCAAACACAGTACTGCAAAGTTGTTAATTTGTTTCAAAGACAACTAAAAAATTGCTGAGCAGCATTGCTTTCACTTTCTACTGTACAAAGGCTAAAAAGCAGAGGGCTGGTTTCCTACTGCTTAACACAGCACTTACAGCTCAGCGCAGCACTGAGACTCAGCAGAAATGGTGAACCTGATGTGAAATCAGGATCAGAAACACATTCCACCTGGAGCATTTGAGTTTGGTTGTTTAGGAATCACATAATTGAGCTGTAAATTTACTTTCATTTCACGTGACCAGACCAATTTTTTCTTACTCAGGTCTTGAAACCACACCAGGATGGATCTTTCCCTTCAAGGCTTTGCCCTTCCAGCTGAGGTGCTCTGCAGGTAAGTGGAAGGCCCAAGCTCTGGACTTTCTGGGTCAGCTGTCCAGAGAGCAGCTGGACATGTACCTAAAAGTATAGGTCACAAGGCAAGATGCCCTGCACCACCAGGGGCTGATCTCAAACTCTTTCAAACAGTCAGGTCCCACAGGCACACACAAGTGCCCTTTTATCCCACTGGGACCATGGTAAATCATTTAACTTGTGAGAAGGCTGACACCAGTCCAGTCTTTTGTTAACCTGCGTGTTTTTTGATGGAAAACTTTATATGAGAATTGAAGTCAAAACTACTGCCATGAAGTGAAAACACTATTTTATTTTTATAAAAGGCAATAATTAAAACAAACCCTACCAGTGTGTACATTGTACACATTTGAATGACACTTACAAGAATGAAGTCTCCATATACAGGGATTACAAGGCCACACTGGTAAAGGATGCACACAAACCCATACTGAACTTCACAGATGCCTCAGCTCCAGATCACAGTACCATTGCTCTACAACCACACCTGCACTGTCATTATTAGCATCCACACTACTTTATTCCACTACAAACTGTACATACACAGAAGCAAGAAGTTTATTCAGAGAGCACATATATTCGCAGAAAACATTTATTTGCTGAAATGAATAATCTCTCACTCTTCTGCTGCCATCTTCAAGAGATACTTCTTGTCAATCTTGAAGAGCCTCCAGCCCTCCTCAGTGGACAGATCCGAGGCGCCCCTTCTCTTGTAGAACCTGATGGAGGGCTCATTCCACTCGGCCACGAGGAAGTGCATGCTGCTGCAGCGGCACTTCACAGCCACCTGCAAACCAATGCTACACTGTCACAGTGCCCAGGGACAGCCAGCCACATTACTCACAACTGCACACCACCACAAGTCACTGAGTTCATGCCAGCAGCCACTGCAGCATTCCTCACAGTTTACCAGACTCTAGGCAATGTTTTAAGCTGCCTAGAGTCCTGCCACCTCCTTTAATTCTGTTTAGACTTAGCTCTTAGACATACCTGACTCAAGTTCTTCAGAATTTCTGACCCAATACCAAGTCCTAAAAAAAACCAAAAACCAAGAAGCTTAAGTTTTAAATCTACAGAAGCTCTATGGGTAGTAACTCATCTAATTCTGCAATAGGTACCTCTGTACTCAGCCATCACATAAAAATCTTCAAGGTACAGCAGTTTTCCAATCCATGGATCATAAGTGAAGTAATACATGGCAAAGCCCACAACGCATGTTTCTGAAACAAAGGGTGTAACTTCAGCCTGACAGAACTCACAAAGTAAAAATACTTTAAGTTTTACATGCATTTTTAAACATACAGATTCTGAGACATGCAGACATTTGATTCTAGGTTACAATTAAAAATGAAGTTTGCAAATAAGCACACAATTGTAAACACAAGTTCTGACAAACTGTTATCAGCCTAATAAAAAGATTGCCCTGTTCATACCCTGAAATCCTCAAAAGCACTGTCACAGTAAGTACAAACATGGCCTTTTTGTACAAAATAATGCACACCCTACTGATTTACTTCCAGTCTGGAAGTACTTTACACAGCAGCTCACAATCTAGATGATTGCCCCAGCTCTGCTCCCTTAGGAATAATCTGTCAAACCCTGATCCTTCCATGTATATTCCTCAGTAACTGCTGTGCCAGAAGGCCTATTTACAGGCCACCTTCACAGCAGCATTCCAAGCACTTCCACTGAGCATCATGCCGTTTTCTTTGCCTTCAGCACCAGGAAGTCAAGATAAGTAAAGTAGCAGCTTCAATTGTAACTCTGTGGCTCAAGAGAGAAGAGAGACCAACTCTTCCAACAAGAGCTCACTTGGACATAAACCCTGAGTATTTTAACTACATCTGCCATAACACCCTGCACATACTCTAAAGAGAAGCGTGCAAACAGGTTTCTGCCATCTACTGTGTCTTTGGTAAAGGTTTGGGAGTAGCACTTGTCCCTGTAGGCCTTACCTCATATTATGATCATCTACTTTATTGTGTAACGGATCTTTTAGTTACCTCCCCGCCCATCCATGTACACAGAAGGGCCATGTACATGGCGAAGCTAGAGACTGTAACCTGAAGATTGGGGACAAATTAAAGAAAAAAATGTGATTTAACAGAATTACATAAAGGTAAGTCAGGGTCAAACAAGAAAAGCCATTTAATAATTGGAGTCAAGCACATTATGTTATACCTGACCTCCCATGCTTCCAGGATTAGCAACCACTTCAGCAGAGTATCACTATACATTATTGAATTTTACCAGTTAACCTAGTCCTCCTACCCCAGTCCACTGGTGGAACCTCATCTACAATCATTAACATTAAGCAAATGATGTTTCTGTGTATTTAGCGTCCAAAAATAAGTATCAGGAAGCCTCACCTTCAGACGACCACTGGTCTTTAGGCACTTCTGCAACCAGACAGTGGTAGAAAGGGTGCTCGCCAAAACCATCCTCAAGCAGCTCTAGAAAAGCAGAATACACGCGCACCTGAGCTACAGGCGCTGTCACTCGGCCGCCAGCCGGGTGAGCTCCTGCACTCTCCCTACCTTTCTCAGTTAGCACGACCTGGTCCTCCATGTCCTCATATTTCGCCAGTTCCTGGAAGAGAAGGAGGATGTGAGCGGCCTCTCCCCACCCCCGTCCCTTGCGCAAGAGCTTGTTTTGTTTTGCTCCGGCCCCGGGCAGCGCTGCCCCCCCGCATCCCGCCCGCACCTTGATCAGTCGCAGCAGCTCGGGACAGTCCTCGGGACGCGCGGCGCGGATGCTGAA